CTTTTGGAAGACCAAACAAAGTAGTTTCGCTTTCACAACGAAACACACGGCGGGCTTGAGTGAGCGGAGGCCGGCGGCTAGAGTGAGCGGAGGCCAAATTGAGTGAGCGGAGGCCGGGGGCTAGAGTGAGTGGAGGCCAAATTGAGTGAGCGGAGGCCAAATTGAGTGAGCGGAGGCCGGGGGCTAGAGTGAGCAGAGGCCAAATTGAGTGAGCGGAGGCCGGCGGATTCGACGAAGGAGCATTTCATGCTGACAATTCATGTACATTTATTCAACTTTTCACTATGATTATTTTGCTGAAAATATAACTTGTAATTTGATTTTATTTACATTTTTCATTACATCAAATTACAAAAAAAAAAAAAGTTAACTCTAGCAAGGGTGTTTCTAACACAGCGTCTATTGGAGTGAGTACATTTGGCATTGTTCTCTCTGCTGACTGCCGTTATCAGTCTCTCTCTATTCTTTTCCTTCTTTTTTTTAAGTTTTGGAAACACTATCATGGAGTTTTTCTTTTGCTATTTGAGCAAATGGGAATGCAAAAATATATATTTGTGGTAGTCTCCCATTGACTGACCCGGAAATGTGAAAAAGGTCCATTGCAAAAGTACCGATTTTTTTTTCCCCCCACTAATGGCTTCAATATACTTCATGACACTTGCATATACATTAACAGTCTCAGACCTACCGAATTTTTATTCAAAATTCTTGGGCCAAAAATAACGACATTAAATTTTCATCTTGCGTTTATTTCAGATTCGAGATTATTTGCATTTGAGGGAATTTTCCAGAGTCTCAGCATTGTACTTTACTGCAATACTTGTACTTCTATGACTTCTGAGAATGTGAAAAAGGTCCATTGCAAAAGTACCGATTTTTTTTTTTCCCCCACTAATGGCTTCAATATACTTCATGACACTTGCATATACTCAGACCTACCGAATTTTTATTCAAAATTCTTGGGCCAAAAATAACGACATTAAATTTTCATCTTGCGTTTATTTCAGATTCGAGATTATTTGCATTTGAGGGAATTTTCCAGAGTCTCAGCATTGTACTTTACTGCAATACTTGTACTTCCAGCGCCGGTTTCTGAAAACATTAAAACAGACATCATATTAGTACTAAAATATGCAATTTCACATTTGCTTTCACGGTTTATTAAAAACCATTATCAATATTCAAATTGACAATATTCAAGATAACTATAGAAAATTGTGAAAAATTACACATTTGTGGCTTGTATTTTGAAATAATATTGATTATGCAGCTCTCTGTAATACTTAATTCTGTCATTATAGCATTCTGTAGTCAAATATTACTGTATAATTGACCATAACCATATATTTATTTGGAAAGCAGCCCTGTAATAAGCAGGCAGCTGATCATTATCTCAAAACAAACCCCTTCAGGGTCATATGAAGCTTGCTAGGTTTATTTACCCAATAAATCACCATTATCCTTCTGTTTACATAACAGACAGAATTCATGTTTAAATCATTTAGGGAGCTGTACTTACTCGTGTTTATTTTCATGGTAGCTTTCAGCACCCACCAGGTAGTTTTGGTTTGGTACGGTCCAGTGGAAGAACTCATCAAAACAGTTCACATCGGTAGTCCACTCACAGTTAGCAATACACTGGCCGTTACTTCTACAGCAGTAAAACTGCCAGCTGTGTGAAAAAAAATATAAAATTGGTATTGACTTCAGCTCAGGTGAACTCGCATCAAACTCAGTCCAGAATCAAAGCTCACCGGCTGTCCTCATGCTTGTTGCTGTGGTAGCTGCTCATTCCTGTGATGATGTGGTGCGGTGGACACTCGTAGGTGAACGTTTGGTCAGAATCATTGACGTAAGGTGACAAGAAACAGTCTGTACCAGAGTTAAAGGTGTTTTTACAGCCGAACTCCCACATCCGTTCCTCATGATGGTTGTCGTGTTGGCTTGGTTTATTCATTATGCAAGGAAACCGTAAGAAGCAATTGAATTATCAATTTGATGTTCTGAATATGTGTTCCATTTCATTACTATAGTATTTTTGAGAATATTTAAGTTTCTTTGAAATTGAATATTGACTCCACCATGCATGTTTTATGGCCAATAACTTTCATTTTATTGTAAACTGCATCCTTATTTTTGTACACATTGACCCATGACATTTTAACAGTATCTATACCTTTACAGAAGTAGAATCTGCTTTTTACTCACATCTTTATGTAGGATATCGACTGTCCTGCAGGGCACTTAAATTCTAGAGACTGGTCATAACCGTTTTCCCAGTGCAACTCTGGGGGATTTTATTCGGATTGAACACTTAATTTAACAAGCAATTCCATCAATTCGTAAAAACAAACCGTTTTTCATGAAGTTTCCCACCTTGTCCATTGGCCAAGATACCCGTCAGCAGTAGAAATAAATCAGCTCTCCTCATGGTGTTGTGTGAAATTACAAGAAAACTTGAGAGAAACGTGCGGTTTTTATAAAGACCTCGGTCCTTATGGTCACATACGTAACGTAAGGTCTGTTGCTTAACAATAGGGATCTAATCACGTTTGAACAGGTGGGACTGATTTCCAGGGGTGTGAAGTAAGTAACGAATTACAAATACTCACGTTACAGTAGCCTAATTAAGTAGTTTTTATCAGTAATTGTACTTTTTTGAGTAGTTTAAAAATTGTGTACTTTTACTTTTACTTGAGTAGCCTACATTTTAAGTGATGTATCGGTACTTTTACTCCGCTATTTTCCTCCGTTTGTGGTCGTTACATGCTTATTTTAATTTTATT